GGCCACAGACAGTAAAAGATCATCTCAGTTTGTTAGCCTTTCAGTGCAAGTAACCAGCAGCTTGCACTGTATTTTTCCCGGTGAGCAAAAATGTTCCTGGGTGTTCTAGGGTCTGCTGGAGTAATAATAGTTGTAAAGCATGTTATTATAGAGCTCTAATGATGATGATGATGATGATGATGATGATGATGATGATGATGATGATGATAATAATCTCATAAGTGTTGATGCGCGGGATATAAATCATGAAATTATTATTATTATTATTAAAATCATCATCATCATCATCATCATCATCATCATCATCATCATCATCATTAGAGCTCTATAATAACATGCTTTACAACTATTATTACTCCAGCAGACCCTAGAACACCCAGGAACATTTTTGCTCACCGGGAAAAATACAGTGCAAGCTGCTGGTTACTTGCACTGAAAGGCTAACAAACTGAGATGATCTTTTACTGTCTGTGGCCGGGTAGGCCTACCTATTCCCACCTAGGTGGAGAAGTGAGGAAAATTCACGTAGATTGCCTTTCCCATAGACACAATGTCGGGCCCTTTTCGGAATTCCAACCTACAACCTTCTGGTTGCGAGTCCGCGACCCTAACCACTAGACCACCACTTCATAAACTTTAAGAGGACAGGTCGAGGTAGAAGTGTTATAGAACTGAAACACAGGGAATCATTCACGATAGGGTGGTGCTTGCAGTATTATTATAGCTGGTGCTCGTGGATTATGCTCGTACTTTTAGAATAGTGTCTTATAGCTTTACATGTCTCATCTCTTTGCCTGTCAGTCCTTCTATCTAATGTTCTACCTATTTTTCCACCCATCTATATATCTATCTACCTGACCATCTATCTATCTGTTGATCTATCCATCTAATGATCAATATTGTGTGTAGACAAGCTTAAATTTCTGATAACAATCAGATATTATGTAAAAATATCAGCATCTCCTCCTTCACGTACTGAACCCCCCCCCCTTTCCCCTAAATCACACACGTTTACAATCAGTGCCCCTAAACATTGGCCCTATCGTCTAGCGCAGTAACAAAATGTGTTTATCCCCCCCC